TTTTTACTTTTAAAAACGCTGTGAATTGTGCACTTAAAGAAGGGTGAATACCCTTGTTCAAGATTGTGGGACGATATTTTTAGATTGTAACTGAATTTGGGTTATTTGTCAGCTTTATCTTTAATCCTCTAAAAGAAGCATGAAACTGAAATTGAATTCTTGCAATGTGCAAACTGTCCTTAACCGTCTTTTAGACACAGACCATCATACTGATAAAAATCTCGCTAATCTTATTAAACACATTGGCTGTCTTATTGTAAGATCCTTTACTAGTCCAGTAACAGGAAAAGAGGCTGCATGTGTGTTATATACTAATCTTCCTTAGCTGCAATCTTGCTTAAGGAGTTTGGGTTTTTTTGGGTGGTTCTACTCTCAGTTCATTGATTATTTTAAATTCATAGCCAGCTTATGTGTACAAATGAGTTATAATTGTGAGGGGTTATTTTAAGTGTTATCAGTCTTTGCTGTTTATCTTTTATCAGTTAAGTTTGTTGCTTTCATTCAGCTGCTTTTCAGTTGATTTCTATGGATTTGAAATATTTTTTATAGCCATTGTTGTTTGTTGTTGTTAGTTGCGGAGTCGTGTCCAACCCATCGCGACCCCACGGACAACGTTCCTCCAGACCTTCCTGTCTTCTGCCATCTTCTGGAGTCCATTTAAGCTCACTCCTACTGCTTCAGTGACTCCATCCAGCCACCTCATTCTCTGTCATCCCCTTCTTCTATTGTCCTCGATCTTTCCCAGCATTAGGCTCTTCTCCAGTGCATCCTTCCTTCTCATCAGGTGGCCAAAGTATTTGAGTTTCAACTTCAGGATGTGGCCTTCTAAGGAGCAGTCGAGGTTGATCTCTTCTAGGATTGACTGGTTTGAACGCCTTGCAGTCCAAGGGACTCACAGGAGTCTTCTCCAGCACCATAGTTCAAAGGCCTCAATTCTTTGGCGCTCAGCCTTTCTTATGGTCCAACTTTCACAGCCATACATTGCAACTGGGAAAACTATGACCATTATAGCCATTACAGCTAATCAACGAACATTTCAAGACTTTTTTAAAATGCAAGTTTCCCTACTAACTGCAGAATGAGATGTGAAACAATCTTGAAATGTTTTATATTTTAAGATTAATTAATGAACATTATTTGATCTGCTGGGTATACATGTTTCAAATGAGGAGGGTTAAATATAGCCAGTTGGCTATTCAGATAATTGTTTTTAATGTTATTTTTTCATTATTACATATGTGTAGAGATATCTTTCTAAATTTTTTTATTGTAAATTATAGTACTTTTTATTGTAAACCATACTACATATAGACTACATGTGTATAAATGTAATCTATAATATTTCTCTTCGATCTCCATGGCTGCTTTTAATTCATCATTGGCATCGTCAACCGTCCCATTTGGTATTTTCAACAAAAGAAACCCCTGGCTCTTTAGACTGACCAAGAGTGTAGTTTTATTTAAAAAAATCCATCTGGGCACAGCAGAAGCAAAGTCAGTTCTGGGATTTTCCCACAAAAACCCACATAGGTTTTCCCACAAAAACCCTCTCCCCATCTGGGGCACCCACAGTTCATAGTTCACCAATTGAGTTCAGTTCTTTTGCTTTGGGAAAAAAAATATCTGCTCTGGTCAAACATTCTTCATGACTTGGCCTTGGTAGATGATGTTTCTCCAGCAACAGAAGGTTCACTTACATTCCATAGCCTCCTCCCCCCCTTAGGAATTCTCTCTCTCTCTCTCTCTCTCTCACACACACACACACACACACACACACACACACAGTCACTGTTTGGCAAAGCTGCAAGTGAAAGCAGGTGTAGGCAACTATGGAGTTGAGTCAGGTTTCATAGACATGTTCTTTGTATAGGTGTTGGCTAACTAAAACTCCTTTGTGCTTTATAATTTTTCATGAGGATGAGGTAGTCTTATTAATATGCCAATAAGTATCTATCACCTGAGAAATCTTAAGGCTCTACTTGCAGCGATAAACTCATCATACTCACGTCACTATGAATTCATCAGTCACTCCCCAAATATGAGAAACATTGTAAGATTAAACTGACAGCACCCCTTTTCAGAGAGAGAAAGAGAAAAGGCATTTGACACCTCTTGACACTTGCCAAAATTCCATTAAAAATCAACAAGTTTAAAAAAGTATGTTGAGATTTTTACACAGAGTCTGCATGGCCATCTGTCAGGGATGGGCTTAGCAGATTCTTGAACTGGACAGTGGGGTAGGACTAGATGATCTCCACAATCTGTTCCTGCCCTCACATCCTAGTATTATAATCTATCACTTGAACTGTGCACTTTAGAAGCAGCATGGAAAGCAGTGCAACATAAATTATTCAGACTTCTGAGTGGAACAGTATCGCTTTCCTACCTCTCTGTATCAGAGGCTTCAGTGTCTTGATTTCAGTTCCACCAATGTGAGGCAGCCACTTACAGTGGCATACTCATATTCAGTTTTGTATTCAGAGTGCAGTCACAGAATACAGATGTCATACATGGATATTCTCTGTTGGAAATACATATGGCTACAATGTAAAGCAGCATTCCTTAATCTTTCCAGCTTGGCAAACTGGCAAGAGGGGATGGTTTTGTGTGAGCAGCAGGTGTGTGCCTCAGCATATGTAGTAGCTTCATTTACACAAGCGCCAGGTACAAGCATCTGCCGCTTGCACAACTGAACCGCCACATGTATTCTGAGTGGGCCGCGTTGAGTGGGGAAAAAAATGGGGACTGTGTTGTTTAGCGACCCCCGTGAAATGGTCGTTCGACCCCAAATGGGGCCCCGACCCACAGGTTGAGAACCACTGGTGTAAATGAAGTAGCAATGTCTGCTTTCTTTAGCAAAGGAAAAGCAAGGAATGTCAGGCATCAGGCTTTAAATTAGCTGAAGGTAGGACTCTCTATTAGCTTAGCTGAGAGAGATTTAAAGCAGAGTAGAAAGTAAATATTTTAATTCATATTTTTATTTTTTGAAAAATTTGCCCAGTAATGCAAAATGTGAAGTTTCACTATATTAATTTGAGAGTTACAACTGAAAATTAAAAATTACAATTATCAGCATTTTTAAAAAAATATACATCCTTCCAGAGAAGTGACAAGAATGGGACAATTCGTTTCAAAACATACTTAGTAAAGCACAATTTCAGCAGACTCCCCAGAGGAAATTTCAGAAGTGATCCAACTCACCTGGAGGGCCCTTTTAATTACTGCCAACTATAAAACCATCTGAGGTTTTTTGTTTTTTTTGTTTTTAATTGAAACTGGATTATGTACTTACTGGCTGTATCCAGGGCTAGAAAGCTTTGGTTGGCTACTCTGATGATGCAATAAGCTAAATATTCCAGTTGGTTTTGGAAGAGGAAAGACTGGACTTTGCCTAGTTTCTCTCCCCTGCCCACTCCCAAACTCATAGTACCATTTTCTAGAACATAAAGGCAAAAGAGCTGGTTGACCTGAACTTTTGTACTTCATAATGAAAGTGAAAATGAAACAAAAAACAGGAATACTCGGTTTTCCCTTTTGTCTCTTAAGAGCAGTGTTATCAATCTACTATTGCAGGCAATTGCTCACATTTGCAAAGATCCACCGCCCCAGCAGCGTATCAACACAAAACACAAATAATGTTATACACAGAAACTTCCAGATGAGTTCCAAATGGCTCAATGAAACCAGACAAGAAGAGCCTTTAAGGTTAAAAAAAAAAAAATCTGCATTTTGTGAAGTAGATCGTTTGGTGCAAAGTTCTCACCCTGAATTTGGTAGGTTACTTGAAAAAAATGCATCCAGAAATATTAGTTCTTTTGTTTAACAGTCCGTACATGACTTGCTTCATTTTCTGTTACAGAATTAAGAATCTCTTCTTCATTAATACTGTGCTGTGTCATTTTAGCACTGCATCAGGATACTACTGGTGTCATATCCCACAACTGTTCAAAAGGAGACAAAAAAAATAAGGTTATTAAACAATCCAGAATCACTGTAGATTTGGTGGGGTAAGTTACATTCTCACCTTCATAACTTTATCTGTTCCAGATGTCAGCAACCAACCCCGTGTTGCATCAAAGTGTACATGGACAACATTGTGTTTGCTGTAATGGAAAGTGGCTGTAGGAGCACGTCTAAAGAAAGCACATATCAGGACAAAGTGAAAATATAGAAATTGGAAAATCACAATGTCATAGCTAGATGCTAAAAATAAATAAAATCTTAATTGAGATCCCATGGCCTTCAACAAGTTCCTAAACTATGATTTCTCATAGTTCTAGCCATCATAAGCATAATGGATTAGCAATATAAAAATTGCTCATCTGACTCAGACCTAGAAAAAAACCTTCCAAATTGATATTTAATAATAATAATAGTAAAGTTGGAAGGGATCTTGGAGGTCATCTAGTCCAACCCCCTGCTCAGGCAGGAAACCCTATACCATTTCGGACAAATGGCTGTCCAGTCTCTTAAAAACTTCCAGTGTTGGAGCATTTACCACTTCTGGAGGCAGGTTGTTCCACTGGTTAATTGTTCTAACTGTCAGGAAGTTTCTCCTTAGTTCTAGGTTGCTTCTCTCCTTGCTTAGTTTCCACCCGTTGCTTCTTGTCCTGCCCTCATGTGCTTTGGAGAATAGCTTGACTCCCTCTTCTTTGTGGCAGCCCCTGAGATATTGGAACATTGCTATCATGTCCCCCCTCGTCCTTCTCTTCATTAAACTAGACATACCCAATTCCAGCAACCGTTCCTTTATATGATTTAGCCTCCAGTCCCCTAATTATCTTTGTTGCTCTTCTCTGTACTCTTTCTAGAGTCTCAACATCTTTTTTACATTTATTTATTTCATTTATCTCCAGAAATCAGCATAAATTGCCCCAGCAACTGGAAAGGGGATAAGTTACTTACTCCTCATCTGTTATTGTTTCATAACAAGCATCACAGATTCTCACTTCAAATTCAAATCCCATTAGAGGTATGGAAGAGCGCTTTGAACTGCATTTACCACACACTGCTTTTCCACACTTTCGGCAATGATGCTGAAATTTAAAAAGCACATTAAGATTCACCATGAAAGAACTGAAAGAATCTATCCCATCAAATCATGTCAGGGTGGGGTCCTATCAATTTCCCTCTCTGTCCCCAAAGCTCTGCTACTCCACGTTAAAAAAATTAGAAACCACATTAGATGATACTACTACTACTACTACTACTACTACTACTACTACTACTACTACTACTAACAACAACAACAACAACAACAACACAATAATAAATTGACAGGCTCATTCTTTTGCACCAGTAGTATAGTTTTAGTTCCATAAACATGCACATTCCTGAAATGCTTACTATTGGCACACAGGACTTTGTATCAAAAGGAACAGGAGACGATCTTCAATCACTCAAAAAGCAGCATGACACATACCTGTCTAAGGCCTATTTTCTTGCTATCCCACATCTGTTTGAAGTTCCAGAAGAATGGCTGGTCACATTTCTGGCAAGAGTCACTTTCCAACCATTCTGGTGTCTAAGAAAAGAAGGGGTGGGGTGGGGGTGGAAATCCTTAAACTCAGTTGTGTATAGGCCACAAATAGATACCAAGTCTATTCACTTAAGGGGATGTGCTGCTCCACTCTTCACTGGGATTGGCATAGCAAATTATTTTGAAATTCTACATTATATAAATCAACAATTTCTGTATACATTTGCTTACATTGTACACTTTAGATCTAAAGTTGATAGCCATGAGTTCCAAATAATGGATTCTCAATCCAATCTCTGAGGTTTCCCTTAAACTGCCTTCTGTTGTATATTTGGTTTGTCTTGTCTCCATGTTTGTTTTCTGAGGTTTTAATATTTAGAATCATAATGCCAGTTGACCTACTGGGGAACGGCCTACTATTTTCTCTTCAGGAAATTGACTGTAAAAATGTAAAATATCTTCCCTTGTTGCTTATGAATATATGTTCCTTGAGCCAATTTTGTTCTTCCTTCAATAAAATCTTGAGTACAAATTGCAGCAATTTCCTCTATAGAAATACAGTAAAATCTTGATCATTTAAGGGAGGAGATATCTGTTACTCTTAAATGTCTGTTAAATCTAAATATATAACATTCATGTCAATTTACAGCATTTATATTAGCATGTAATCATGAAAATATGCCTAACTTTGTAAACTGCTTCATTTGCATACTTACAAATGTACACAACTGAGGTAAATAGACAAAAATAAAAACTAAGTGAATTATCCAGATGACTTTGAGTACAGTGGAATTAGTCTATTATTATTTTGAGGGGATACACAAACATGAATTTTGTATGTTGTGTTTGACGTTTGGCAAATGAGGCTTGTTAAATTACTGTACGGTATGGATTTTCTCAAATACTAAACTAGCTGCCTGCATTAAAAACCTTAGACTAGCTTCTAAGAGAAACAAACATGTGTATCCAGCACCATATTGAATTATATTCAGTATACGTACACAGTTCCAATGATATGTGTACTTTTGTGTGAGACAGAAAGCACTGGATATATGTCACTCCTAAAAGCAATGGCCCTACAAAGCATCAAAGGCTGGAATGCACAATCCTTCATTCATGGGATACATGGGTTCCCAAACATTCCACCTGTAACTTTCACAAATCGGAGATTGTGTCACCAACATTTGCTGCTAGAACTGCCAAATACAGGAGATGTTAAGAGCAGGAATCTTTTCCACTATTATCCTTAAACTTCCCAGCCTTGCAAAACAGCCCCCAAACAGTTTGGAAACTAATTTTGGCTGCATTTAATAAAGTTTTGCAAATAGGAATGAAATAGGAGGTCTTCCAGCAACATTTTTAGTTTGATCTTCCAAATTAAGCCCTTGGACTAGATCACGGGTAGGCAACCTTGGCTCTTTTATGACTCGTGGACGTCAACTCCCAGAATTCCTGAGCCAGCATAGCTGAAGTCCACGAGTCATAAAAGAGCCAAGGTTGCCTACCCCTGATCTAGTCCAAGGCAACTGAAGAGCATCAGGCTGAGAGGAGACACAGACAAGCTCCCAACAGGAAAACACAATGTTATTATACTGAGTTTTCAGGCAGTCACCTTTGGCTTAAATGGCTTTTTGATGCATCTTTTGAAGATTACGTAAGTGATAACTTCCCTGATCAGAGAAAGAGGAAGAACTGACTGGATACCTCTTGCCTCTCAACATCCATATTCCAGACAACGATCCTGCCATCCGCCCCACAAGAGATGAGTTGCCGAGTGTGATGGGAATAAGAGAGGGACTGAACTTTATCACTACAGAGCACGTAGAGTAAAATAAAAACAACATTAGGAACCATTTATAAATAGGATCAGTAACTGGAACCTGCCAACTTTCCTCCATCTCTCTTGTCTGTCACACATACAAAATTTGATTTCTCCCTCCACATCCTGCCTTAATCCATAGCAAAATTGAGAGCAATATCATATGTTGTGGCATTTATTTGGGAGAGTGTTACAATCTCAGCATACTGCTCCATAACCTGCTCATTTCTCTAACAAATAATGATCGCTATGTTTCTTTGAGACAGGAAAGACAGATGTCAAGATTTTGTGTGTGTGTTTTAACAGAACCCCAAGATTCAACAATTAGAACCAGGTGCAAAGTCACAACACTTTGAGAGAAATTCCAATTTTGAAATTTAGACCTTAAAAATTAAATTAGTCAAACAATTTTGACTGCTCCACTCCAGACATCTGTATGTAGATGCCAATCTTTCTTCTGCCTCAACCTTTTCCCACGTTAGTACGCTCATAGACATATATTTCAGTTTATACTTTAATACTTTAATAATCTTAAATAACTGAACGAATCAGTTGTTATACATTCATTTTAAAAATCAGCCATAATCTGAAGATAGTATGACTACAAGTGATGTCTATTTCCACTAATAAAAGATAATGGAATTATGTCAGTGAAATGCCCGGCTTAACTTTCAAAAATAAATGCATGTGTCATATTTGCATGTCAGCTTTCCTCCAATTCTCTGAAAATATTATATTTTCATGCTCAACATTTTTTTTCAGGTAACGGGCCCTATCGAGGGACTTCATTCAGTGTTTTTGGATGTCAACAATAATTAATGTCCAAAATGTAATGAAATCTCTCATAGAAATCTGAAATTTTGTGGCACCTCAGGCACTGTAGCACTCAGAATTTAAACAAACCCAAGTGGCATTTGGTTTACTTTGGTGCTAACGTGAAATAAGATTATTTCATTTTCACTTGCTAGAAATGTTATTTGGGCATATTGTTTCAAGAGGTATTCTGAATTTCATTCATTCTGGAAAAATTCAGTTTAACCACAGTTCCGAATGAGATACTTCTCTCTAAGCGTATGTGAACAAAACAAATATATTTTAGGACCGGGATAATAACAGCAAGACTACAGAAAGAAGCGTCTGGTGCCCAGTTTGTACCTGTGTCCTTGGAGTTCAATAGCTGTTCCTTTTCTTCCTCCAATGTCCCACATAATGATAGAATGATCAGAACTGCCTGAAAATAGGACACGTTGAACAGGGTCCCAACACAGGGCACTGATTCCACCTGAAAAGAAGACAGGGGGGAAAAAAGAAGGGAAGGATGGAGATTTGTATTAGCCACATATGAAGACATTATTATTGAGTAACTAAAGATCTACCATTTTCTATAAGACATTAGAACCTGGGCAGACAATACAGACAACCACACTAGTAGAGAGTTGGACCAAGGCAGGAAAAGCCCAAGGAAACTGATTCAATAACTTGAGCTGGTATTCCTTGCAGCTCAGCCTACCTTCCTCTCATTAGTCCCACTAATCAACTGATTTTAAAAAAATGCCGTGGGTTTCAGTTTCCATTCTGGGCAGTTACCATTAGCATGAGGAAAAATATTCAGAGCTCTGGCTGCTGGATGTGGATATTTGCATTCCCTAGCCTGCTAAGGAATACCTGAAGAGACGCATGCCTTCTGTCAAACAGAATGGCCCAGCCACTGCTACACTCCTATGCTTTCCCCTGAAATTTCAATTTCTTGCAGAGAGGTCAAAAACAGAAATTTTCCACTGAGTAGCTACTGCCTTTGAGACCATGCACTCCAGGTAGCATCTGTTCACCTAATATGGGCTAGAGAGGGTGTGCTGGGAGGTCCCATTGGCTAGCAGGTGGGTGGAAGGAGAGTCCAGAAATGAGCCTTTTCTCTAATGGACCCTTCTGGGGTAATAGGTGATGTTGTTCATTGTCCTTTTTTCCTTTGACACTCTATTTCTGTCCCATAAAAGGAAGATGAGTCCTGGAGAGATAAATAGCTTTTAGGAGTCTGACTCAATCAATTCCAGAGATCATTGGAAATTTGGTTCTATGGCTGCAGATTAACCCCTTCTGCATTAAGCCTCAACCATTGTCTTTCCCAGCCTCTGCTTCTTCTTTCCCACAACAGATGCCTACAGGCATTCAGCTTCTTCCAGTCTTCCCAAAATTTGTTCCTTATTCAGAATATCTGGTTGTGAGGCAAAGTCTGAAGAAAGCCCTCCAGCACTATGAGAAAAACCATATCAACTAATGCAACAAAAGATATTTCTGGGGCCGAAAATGATAAGATATTCGAAGTAGCCACAACATGTAGGCCACTCAAGTTAAAACTTGAAAGATTTTTCATAGAACTTTGAACCTCAGGTTTAATCCATCCATCCATTCACCTACCCAGCCGCCTGCCCATCCATGTCTGTCTGTCTGTCTGTCTGCCTGTCTGTCTGTCTGTCTGTCTGTCTGTCTATCTATCTATCTATCTATCTATCTATCTATCTATCTATCTATCTATCTATCTATCTATCATCTACCTATCTCTCTCATCAATTATCTACCTATCTAATTTAGGTACTGCCCATCTCACTCTCAGAATGATTCTTTCTTGTAGAGTGTTTTACATCCATTTATGTTGATCACAGAAAAGCCAGAGTGATTCAAAATCATACCTGTATGTCCTCTGAAAGTTGTTATGAGGCTGCTATTTTCTTGTTCTAGTTTAAGGATGGTCACTTGCCCAGAATGATCACCAATAAAAACATTCCGAGTCTCCACATCAAATCTGGAACGAAGGGGTTCAGGAAGCTGACAATACTAGAAGTGTCTCTCCCCACTTTTCAATGCTTGCATGGGCTGAACCTTTATCCCCCACAGTCATCCCCAAACAAACCACCATTTACTTTCAGGGCTGCTAGCAAGAGGCAGCACCTCAACTGGAAAACACCCAGTATCTTCCCTCTCAGTATAGTAGAAGATAACAACACAAATGTTGCTTTTATCCTGTTATCTCTGCAAGCTAAGAACTGCTCCTCAAGGGGACAGAAAAGGTCTCTCAGTTCAGAGGAGAAGAACTGTGCTCTGGATTTACCTTTTTCTGATATTAGGTTGACTAAAGTCCATTTTTCATTTACAACTGTTGCAGCATCAATATGGTCAAAATTGGGACACTAGACACTGATGGTTGCAGTGTTTCAGGGGCCATGTGATCACTTTTAGCGACCTTCTGACCAGCAAAGTTGATGGGGGAGCCAGATTCACTTAACAACCGTGTTATTCTTAACGACTGCAGTGATTCACTTAACAACCGTGACAAGAAAGGTTGTAAAATGAGGCAAAACTCACTTAACAACTGTCTTACTTAGCAACAGAAATTTTGCGCATAGCCGTGATTGTAAATTGAGGACTACCTGTACTTTCATTGCCCGCAAACCCATTTGTTAAGCAAGTCAGACTCAAATCCATTTCCTTGTGAAATCCAAGAGCAACAATGATTCTTCTCACTGTCCTCAGCAAACAGTTCTTTGACATGGCTGGTGCTCCCTCTGCAGAGGTTAGTTTGGTAGAACTTCATCTGCTATAGAGATGGGAGTTATGCTCTCACTTTCCTCTCTTTCAGGATGAATAATGGGAAAAGCCACCTTGATACAGTATAGTATAGATAAAATCCAACCACACCTTCCAAGGCATGACCCAAATACACTAGTACAGTGGTTCTCAACCTTTTTAAATGCTGCGACCCCCAACCGGTCGTAAGTTGAAGACTACTCAACCGGTCGTAGTCGAGGACTACTCAACTAGTGCAGCTTCGTTTGCAGAATGGGACTTTTGGTGGGCTCAGCAGGGCAGAGACAGCCTGGACAATTCCTATTGGCTTTTGAAAGCCAATAGAATTAGACTCTATTCAAGAGAGTCTATTCTATTGGCTTTCAAAAGCCAATAGAATAAAAGGGAGTAGCACAGCTAAGGAAAAGGGGAAAAAAATGGCGGACTGCGTTGTTTGGCGACCCCCGTGAAATGGTCGTTCGATCCCAAATGGGGTCCCGACCCACAGGCTGAGAACCACTGCACTAGTACATCAAGCTGGGAAATATTTAGGTTTTGTTTCACTTATTCAAACCCACCCTTGCCGTGCTCTGCAAACAGAGGATACATTTTCAATCAGAAACTGTTGCATTTCTAGTTCCTAAAATATTCAGTATTTCAAAATACCGCAGAGGAACCAATGCAAGATATTTATGGGCTGTTAAGTCAGCATTATTAAACAGCTACAGTGCATCAGAAAGATAAAATCAGCTTATAATTTCCATGCATAAAAGCATATTTACACATTCTATGCTTGCTTTGTTATGAAATGGCAGGCTCGAAACTCCTTAAAATTATACATAATGCCACTATTCTTGGAAAGGATACTGTAACCCACAAGCGCCTGCACTAATCCGGTAACTGCCAAGTCGTTGACCACTTTCAGAGCAATGCCAAGTAAAGTATTTATCCTGCCCAATACTTAGGAGCCACTCCATTTCCAAAACAAAAAGGACCATCAGCACTTTGCTCTGGTGAGCTGGAAGAGGAAGAATACGATGGTTAATGTGGTACATGAGAGCTTTTCTATCCCAAAAATATATTACTTTCAAATTACATTTGTGTTAGTTAAAGTTTATTGTGGTTCCATTTCTGCTATTGTTACATATTTCTTCAAGTTGCCCAAATGACCTCAAAGGAATGCAAATATTATGGAGTTGCAGCCCAAATGACCTCAAAGGAATGCAAATATTATGGAGTTGTGTTATATGCCTAGAACAGCAGGAAAGAAGTGATGTGAATGGAGGAATGGTGTCGAAAAGCAACATGATGGGCCTTGAAAACAAACCACCACTAAATGGAGCTGCTCCGACAACAGGAAACAGAGATTTAATTTAAAGAGCAGTGAGGGACAACATGAGTTAATCTTGGTCTCAGTTCTAATAGTGGAACTTTCATTCTGTATATTAGCTTGCTTCAAAATGTATTGAGATATAACTTCCCAATTCCTTACCAGCACAGCAAAAAGATTAACCTAAATTTCTAGGAATTTTAAGCACCTAACACCTCTGGTTAACAGTGATCTACACTAATGATAGCACGGATGCATCTGCTGTCATTCCTAAATGTTTTAATTTTTTGTTCTTCTGTTCAATCATGTCTAATTCTTGGGGACTGTCTGAACAAGTCCCTGCAGTTTTCTTGGCAAGATTTTTCTAAAGTGGTTTGCCATTGCTTTCTTCCTAGCGCTGAGAGAAACTGACTAGCTAAAGGCCAGTCAACTGGCCTTGTGCCTAAGGTGGAACTAGAACTCACCCTCTCCCAGTGTCTAGCCTGATGCCTTAACCATTACAATTAATTGGCTCTCATGTCTTTAATAAAGAACTCCAAGTTTCTTGATATAAGCGCTCAGGCGCCTAAACCGCAACATGGGTGGTAAATAAATTTGATAGATCAGATAGATAGATAGATAGATAGATAGATAGATAGATAGATAGATAGATAGATAGATAGAAATAAGTAACTTTCAATGTGGAAACATGTCATTTTATTCTGGCTTAATCACATGGAGATAAATTCTCATTTATACTTTTCCAAAGCTGAGAAGCAAGTGTACAGTTTTAATTTAAACTTATTTGTTTGTTTGCTTATAAAACTTATAGGCCACCCATCTTACCTCAAGGTAAATCTGGGCGGCTTTCATTTTGTTAACTGATTATTACAAGTGGCATCCAATTAATGAATCCAAACAATGAATTACCCTTGTGTCTCATCGCCTCTGCATAATAAGCAAATATTGGGTTTTATATGAATTGCTCTCTCTCTCCCTTTGTCCCATTATTTCCAGGCACAAAAAACAGTTTTGAGACAAGGAAACTTAGAAAGTGTTGTATTCTGGAATTGGTGTAAGTAATATAAGTGACAACACTTGGAACCAAGCACAGTATATTAAATTGATTTCTTCTAATAGCAATTCATTCATGTTATTGACTGAGACTAAAGGCTGAAATGTATATGATGTTGAGATGTGAAAAAACACCCAATCATCCAAACGTGTTGAGCTGCGAAGAAAGAATGCAGACTCTCCCCTTCATTTGACTGCAAGTTGTTTTAAAGTCATATAGAGGTTTTACTTGCCATTCCAGATAAATGCAAAAAGTTGAAGATCTGGTAGTGCTATGTTGAATTTAACATAGATTCTTGAATTTTTTTTTGAAAAGGTGGTATGTTTTAAACTTTTATCACAACAGTAACAAACGTATGTCATAATTCAGAGCCTCGGAACTTAATAATGGAGATGAACGGAATGCAATTATGTTTGCAGGTAGCAGCTTTGAGAAAAAAATTAAAAACCACCCTAAAATATGCATTATGCCAGAAAACAGCCAGAACTATTTAAAAAGCCAGTCTACAATATTGATTGCTTTTGTAGGCTGTAGAATAAGGACAAATAAATCTGGAGGGTTTTTTTTCCTCTTAAAATACCAACTGCATCTCTTACCCTGGTAACTTTTAACTGCTGTCATCTTGTTGTAATCTTCTGATAAAATAAATTCCTGGAAAATAACAGAGTAGCCACTTTAGAATGTATTAAACATCTAGTTTGCAATGTAACATTTCTTGTTAAAATCCAAGAATTTATCATTTTGTGTCAATCGTTTTGGATCGTATCCTTTTAGATTCTGGTGAAAAAGGCTTGTTCTTCACCTCTGATTCATTGGCTGTCTGAGAACCCTGAAGGCATCTCGGCTCAGAATGCAACAATATGATCCTTTCAACCATAACCTCCCCACCCCCACCAATTCAGGTAAATACAGTTTGGAAATTCTGGTTTTCTTACATAGTATCTACATGGCAAAGTTCTTCTTCTTAAAAAGCAAGCAAAATCTAGAGATATTTTTAAGAGGTGTGTGGTAAACATAAGGGGGTTTGGCCTAGATTCTCCAAATGTGTTGGAACTACCATTCCCAGAATGCTGATAGCAAATGCTAGGACGTCAAATATGTCCAGAGAGCACCAAATTTGAGGTGACTTACTCATAGAGGGGCTTCACATTTATTTATTTATATTCCACTTTTAATATTTAGCCCCAATTTTGGTGGGACTAGAATTCACAAGTCTCCTGGTGCCTAGCTTTAGCCACTAGACCAAATGAGCATTAGGATGGAATGTGATTTGCTATATTTGCCTTAGTATGTTATGGAAACCCACCCACTTGTGATTTATTTGATAAGCTATATTTAAAAGAAACTGATGCTTACTGCAGCCTCAAGGAAATGATACAGCTTTCTGTCTAATATATCTTACACAAGAGGACTGGCAGATGGTAGAGATATCTTATACCCAATTATCTCTACTAGTGGTGGATAATCAGCCGTTGTTAATCTATTATCTTATCCATTCAGACTGGAGAAGCCTTTCCTGTGACATACTGATAAAAGTATTTCATAGGCACAATTGATGATGATTCATTTAAATCAGATTCTCCATAGTTACTCAGTAATAGGACTTTTGCTAAAAAAAGGAGATGGAAAGTTGTATGATGGGAAGTTGAAACTAGTCGAGGTAAATATTTTTTTAAAAAGCTTAGAGGAAAAAACAAAGAACTAGTAGGCAACGACAGGATAGTGATTAAGCTGCTACCATTGCTAGAAATCACTCCAATTTTTTAGAAGTACAGAAATACCTCGGTATTTGATTGCTTCAAAACTGGTTGAATGTGGTACTTGATGCATTTTGATGTGAAAATGTTGTCCCGGTACTTTCAGTGGCTGTAAAAGGAAGAGGGGACCAGCTGCAGAGGTCAGACAGGAAGAGAGCCCTGCTGGGAAGGTCACTGACATACAGAAAAAGGGCAAGAAACTTTTTCCGGCCAAAACAAAGGGTAATGTGGTTTGTTTGGCACTTGTAGTTTTTAGTACCCATTGTGCCTCCCAGAACCAATTAAGGTAAAGTACCAAGGGACCACTGTAAACAAAGAAAGGGGTGGTGTTTACAGTTATGTAAACTTTATTCATCATCACAGAGTGACCAGAAAGAAGATAAATATAAAGGAAGATAGCGTGCAGCAATAGAAGAAATTTAGCAAAATTAAAAACCCATGGCTTTTACTTAAGAGAATGTTAATGATGCAATATAATACAAGCTCAGAGAGCACCAAAGACCCTGCCACAAATGCAATAACAGAAATCAATTGTTGAAAAAATTCTGAGGATGCATAAAAGGTTCCCTGAAAAATAAGTTGGAGCAAGCTCGGTGAGGAGAAAAATGGACTCTGAAAATGTCCCTGTTGCTTCCCACACTGCCAAACCATCTACAAATATGAGCATATTTGATCAACAGGAAACAGAAAAGAAACTCTCGCAGCACATTTGCAAATGGAAAGCAGGCAGCCTTCCACAGATTTGCTTAATAAAATGGGGAATAAGGAAGAAAAAGAATATTGCACAATGTTCTTGTCACAGAATTTAAGTTTATGCAAGAGCCTGGAAAAAAACAGCACCGACATGAAATGAACTCAGCTGTTGCCTCAGGATCCAGTCAACATTCCTTTGTAGTCTTATGTGCTGCCATTTCTCCACATGGGCAAATAACTACTGATATCCAGCCCATTTGATCTTCTTTCTATTTGGAGAAATTACTACGTATACACACACACACACACACACACACACACACAAATTTTCATCAAAGTTTAGTCATCAAGGCTTCTTTAAAAATAGAACTACCTCTTGTCTTCTTTCTTTCTCCTAGCTTCTTTAATCTTTTACTTTTATTTATAGGATGAATAGTTATTTTAGAATAATTTCTTCTAATTATTATTCAACTTTTTCTATTTTGATCTGTTGTATTGAGATCCTGTAATATTGTTTTCTCCTGATTCAGTCTGCCCATTACCTTATCAAAAGTATTTGGTTACTGTGAGCATGGCTTACAAGTAGTCATCGACTTACCACCATTTGTTTAGCGACCGTTCGAACCTACAATGGCACTAAAAAAGTGACTGTATTTGTACTTACAACAGTGGCTGCATCCCCGGGTCATGTGATCAAAATTTGGGCTCTTGGCAAGCAGCATGCATCAACAATAGTTGCAGTGTCCTGGGGTCATGTGATCACCATTTGTGACTTTCCCAGGCAGCAAAGTCAATGGGGGAATCCAGATTCAATTAACAACTGCATGATTCACTTAACAACGGTGGCAACAAAAGTTGTAAAATCGGGTATAACAATCATCTTGCTTAGCAATGGAAATTCTGGCCCCCAATTGTGTTCGTAAATTGAAGATTATCTATATACTCTCCATATGCTATTTGGGTTATGATGTTAATAATAGTTTTGTTTACTTCTAATTGCTTAGTCATCAACTGTGTAATACTAATTGCCCGGGTCTTTAGTCATTTTCCTAAAACAAAAAGCTTCTCAGCCATTGTCCAGCTTTCTGGCACTTCATCTGTTTTCTGTCCAAGTTGTACATAAAAGCCTCAAAGCAGCTGACTCAACTGCAACGCCCAACAAGCCACGGCCAAAGTGAGGGATCTGAAGAGTTATACTTGGCGTCTAATTTCCCCATCCTAATTCACTAGCCAACTAGTCCACTCCAAGAAAGGAGCAAATAAAATGAAGCGAGAACATGGCCTTGTTTCAATTTAGCTGAAGAACGAGTTGACTTTTGGGCTTGTCTTTTCTTATACTATTTACATTGCAATGAAAAAGCATAAGAACTTGTAACTTTAAAAAAGATAATAATCTGACAGTTGATTTTGCTTGGTTTTTTCCTCCTCACCCTCAGAGCTATGTTTTGTAACCTGATAATTTTTTCTTTAAAAAAACACACCTGTATCATAGCAATCAGCCTGAAATTCTTCACATAATTGTATAAATCTAATTTGCTGTAAAGAGGTTTACTTCTGACATACATAGGATTGCACCTTTAATACAATTTTACCACAATGAGTTAAGGGAAGAATGTTTCAGAAGCATGAATTGAAAGGATCAGGCATAGAGATGTTTGGCTGCCAACTGAGTGGAACATATGAAAGTTATTTTTTTTGTATTATTTTTAACTTTCTTTTTAAAGGATGCTGCTTTTACATTTTGCAGCAGTTTTGTCTCCAATTTAATGGCCCCGTTAACAGCATTGCTACCCATTCATTTTTAATTATGCATGGTTCTGTCTGATTGCTCTAAAGTTTCAATGCATGAAAAGGAGAAGCAGAAACCCTATTAATAATTTAATTAATTTAATTCACGTTTGGCTAATGGCTTCATTCCTTCCCCAATGATAGCTGTATCTCACCAAGACCTTACATTTAAATCACCAATATTAACATTACACAAGTATCGGGTAACATTCCAGAGTCTGAGAACATGATCATAACTGCCAAAGATGCAGAATACACAGCAGGGCCAAATCCAAGCACCCTTGTTTGTCTTTTCTCAAAAAAAATGTATTCAGGTAGTAATCTATGTAGCAATCTATTCAACATATGTCTGCCTCACCTCAGTACTACTTACATTTAAGAGAGAGGAATTATGGCCTTCTTGATCCACTACAATTCCCAGTATCCCTTACCATCATCTGGCTCAGCTGGGAGTTGAAGTCCAGCAGTTCTCAAAACTTGAAAGCCTTTTACAGGCTTATTTGTCTATAACAAAACAGTAAACCAGAAACCTTTGCATGCAACTCATGTGGTCTAGTGTGGAGCTATAATCCTTACTCAAAACCATATTTCAATTGAGTTTTGCAACTCCAGGAATTCAATTCTTAACCAGAAGTCTTGATTATATGTACTTACTGAGACTGTACCATTGTCAAGACCAACAGATACTCTTCTTGTTTCCGGGTTAACACACATGCAGGAACAAGGGGCTATAAAAAAAAAAAAGTAATACGTTATGACACTGAACTCCCTTATTTCATTGCTTAAGAATAGATAGTCCCTCTTGCTCATTTAGTGGGCGGTAGGGAAGAAACAGGCAAACAATCTATTATGGGCTACCTGTTACTTTTAAGTAGATTTAAAACATTCACCAACAACGATTTTATATGCAGGGTCTTTATTCATCCCTGAGATCCATACCAAAAAACTAAACATCTGGGACAGGAATAAGCTGTGTGAGACGAGCAATATTTGGGTTCTGTGGACTGGCTGAAAAGGAGTGTTTTGTTCATAAAATGCATTAATCTAATTACCTGACCATCATATGATTCCTGAAGGACTTGATAGGTGGACAAAATGCCAAATCCTGTTTAAAATCTGGCTGACTGTAAAAATCTGGCTGACAATGTGAGCAACCGTCATGATTTATTAAACTGTAAGCCACCTGACTCTCAGAGACTCTAGGCCAGGGGTCCCCAACCCCCGGTCTGTGGACCGGTACAGGGCTGCAGCATGCCAGCAACCGGTCTGCACAAACAAGCAAAGTCCCATCTGTGGGATGTAGGCAGCACACAAAACCATGCACTCTCTGGTCCATGGAAAAACCTTTCTCCATGCAACCGGTCCCTGGTGCCCAAAAGGTTGGGGATCTCTGCTTTAGGAAGCTCACAATAGAAGAAAATGCAATCTAATCAATAAAACATAAAATGCAATAATGATTGGCCAACCTTTTTAGTGCTGTTGCTAGGAAACTTTCCATGTAGTCTCCAGAAGTCAGGTTTGACTCAAAGGAAACTTCTGAATGTTTTAAATTCTAATTAAATGTTGACATTTTATCCTACACAAAAAGGCCCTAAAGGGAGCAGGATAATCAATACTTTACAGAATACGCTGAGCCCACCCCAAACACAGATATGCCAGGGAATATTTGGGGAGAGGGTTCAGAGCTTAAAAGGATAAAATGAGTTTCATATGCCAGGTTTAGGTTACTTGTTTTGTCCCCAAAAGGAAAAAAAAAAAGATTTTCAAATCGCCTCCCCCCACCATACACACTCACTCTGAGACAGGATATAGAGATAGTCCTCACTTAACAACCACAAATGGAGCAGCAATTCTGTTGCTAAGCAATGCAGTCATTAAGCAAAACATTACGTGACCATGTCTGACTTCTTCCGCAACTCCCCAACTCCCGTTGTAGTCATTAAGGTCACTTTATGGGATCACAATTTGCAATTTTACTGCCAGCTTCTCCACTGACTGCTTGTTAGAAGTTGGCAGTAAAGCACACAAATGGTAATCTCACAACTGCAGGACATTTTCCTGGCTGGAAATACCCGCCAACTGTGAAGTGCCTGAATTTCAATTACTGGACCACAAGTGCAACAACCAGTGATACAGTTACTTTTTAGCACCACTGTAATTCCAGATGGTCATTAAGCAGACAATCGTTAAGTAAGGACTATCTGAATTGGTAGGCTGCACTTTCCATACTAATGCTTAGATATGCTTCATGCCATACAAGCAGGAAATTTCCATTTCACATTTGCATTATTATACCGGTACAATAAACCCTATAATTGCAAGAACCTACCAGCTTATCCAGCAAGACTCAGTACAGTGCTGTCAAAGGGGTTGTGTTGTATGGCAAACAACATAAAAAATAATCTGGTACAGAAAATGCCATAATACTCTCATTATTTCATTTTCTGTCTAAGGGAGGTTTGTAAAATATTAGCCACCATATGAAAAAATTAGAATCAGTAAACAATAAAAAAAGAAATACACCATTTTCTCCCTGTGGATTCTTATAGAACTAAAACTGTGTTCTTAATTCTTGGAAATGTCTAAATTGAGCAGTCCATCATCTCCAGATTTATCTTAATGCTCCTACACAATTTAATGACAGAAAATTGCTTAGAAATAGAAGACAGCTGTTTTGTGTTAACATCCAAGAAAAAATCACCCACACATTGTAAGACACGACAATTGACCCCCTCTGAGGATGAATGCAGGAAATCTACAGTAAGTTATATTATATTCAAAGTTAATTTATCTTTAAAGTATATGTGAGCTGGAACTGATTTTTGTTGTTCTAGTTAAATGAATCTGTTTCTTGATGAGTTTTCCCACATTACACTGTACAATTGTTGTAAACTATGGTTAGAAATTATGCAAAATATCAGGCTTGAGCAACAAGCCAGTAGGATAATTTATTTTGCAACCAATGGATTAATACTCCAAAAAAGTGGACCTTGCACTAGTGGGAAACATTAGGAAGAAAAAATTGACCAGAAATTATGCATTGACAAAAACTTCTATTTCTAAGCAATTTTCTATCATTAAATTATGTAGGAGTATTAAGATAAATGATGGACTGGCACTGCTCAATTTAGACATTTCCCAGAATGAGGAACAGAGTTATTTAAATCATACATGCTGTATCATCAAATAGTTTTATAGCTATTGTTCACAAAGTTCTAATAAAAAAAACAAATGCACATGTATACTATTTTGGTTTTATTCCTTCAAAATATTTCCTACCAACATTTCAATGTTATGATATTCCTACAGTGGTGTACACTACAATAGCAAAACATTTCAATAACAAATCCAACAATGAATTATAAATTACGTTTTAAAATGTAAATATCAGCCTTTGGCATCTAGAGTTAATCATTTCAGAAGCCATCTATCGTTGCCCCCTCAAAGCGATTATTTTATTCCATTTGAAATCCTAATGTTCAGTCCTGTTCCAATAGTCATTAGACGGAAAGATGAATAGGATCTAGAATACATGAGTGAAGCTATCTACAACTAACGGCAACGGCAATTGAGACTGGAATTTCTGTTGTCAAGGGATGCAGATACAAAGCACAACTGCACTGCTTAGTAAAGGCAATTCCTGCAGTCCCAGTTGCCAGAATTAACCAAATCCCATGGTCATTAGTAAAGAGTGCAAAAGAGGTGTGATGAGGGCTGAGGAGAGTGCATAAGGGTTCAAGGAGAGTGTGTGGGAGGGGAGTACGGATTGAGGAAACTGTGCCAGGATATTTGAATGCCTAGGGCAGGGGTAGGCAATCTTGGCTCTTTTATGACTCGTGGACTTCAACTCCCAGAATTCCTGAGCCAGCATAGCTCAGCTTGGAAACCTCTCTCTTTCCCTTCAGCGTGGCTGGCTCAGGAATTCTGGGAGTTGAAGTCCACAAGTCATTAAAGAGCCAAGGTTGCCTACCCCTGACCTAGGGCGATGCAAATGCAGAGGAACTGGGGACAGCTTCTCTGCTGGGGACAGAAGCTGGGGACAGCTTCTCTGCTGGCTTCCCCAATGACTTTCTGGGAAAGCTGGCAAATAAGATTGCAAACAGTGATCACATGATCATGGGGCGCTACAACTGGTTGTAAATGTGAACCAGCTGCCAAGTGCCCAGATCTCGACTGTGTGACTGCGGAGATCCGGGATGGCCAGAACTCCGAAGACCAGTTGTAACCACCATTTTTTTCAGTGCCATCATAACTTTGAACAGTTGATGAACAGATACAGAACTGTATCTATTATTTGCAGATGGAGTTGTTGGCTATGTGTGTACTATATCTTCATTTCTGGCAGGGAAAGGATTATCTTCATATAAAACTGCAAAGCAGGACGGGATACAGACCACAAACAAGCTAAGTCTGAACATGTGGGCTGAAAAAAACTAATTTTGGGGCAGAACAAGGAATAATGCTCCATTCTGAAGGATCATCAGAACCCAATCTGACCCAATTACAGCTGCTGATTGGCAAATAAATATATCTGGCTCTATACATCCCTGATTAGCCAGTCAGAATGTACCAGTGATGTCATACATTTTGGAATAAGCTTTCAAAAAGCTGAAAATCCTCATTGCAGGTGCCAGTCCATTTAATCTTTAAAGTGATGTTACAGCAGACATCTCCTTCTTAACCAGTGCTTATAATTAAAAACACTATTAATCTGCAGTGAGAAACTGAAGGCAGCTTAATTTAAGTTCTAAAAAAACCCCATAACTTTAGAAATAAAGATTGTCTCAAAACTGAGCCCCATCCACAGGGTAATATAGACCTCTCCACCTTGAAATATGTTTAGTAGCCCTTGGTTACCAAAGTGTTGTCCACCCTGGGATTTGAGTAATAAAGTCTGGATGAAAAGAGAAAATATAGCAGATGTTATGGTTCATAAAAAGTTTAGGAAGAATTTTCATTTTGTATAAACAACACTTTTGACTAACCTATTATCTTGCTGCTGGCTTAGCATTCATGGAAATTGTTTACCCCCATGTTAGCTTAGCAGCATCAAAATGTTTTATGCATCCTGAGTTGCCAAATAGCTGACAAGGGTAAAGAAGTGTGTAATACTTTAACTAAGGTGACCAACTTTTTTACAATGAAAAGGACACAAATAAATTGAAGAAAAAAATATCGTAAATAAAAGAAACATTTTATTCGTTGCAACAATATAGAATACACTATAATATGATAAATGCATAATAAAAAACATTTGTAACAATAACATTTTATATTAATTATGCTTACATGCCTATTAATTATTATTTAAATGAGTACTTTTCCATTGAATTAATATTTTTGTCAATTATCATCTTCTAACAATATATTGGAAATATCTGAACAAGAAATATCCTTCATACTGAATTTTATGGCAAGTGCTGCAGCTAGAGTATCAACATTCAGTCTTGATTTCTCACTTTTCCAAACATCATTAACAATTGAAAAAACCCTTTCAACTGCTGCATTAGTTCCAGGACAGCACAACGTAAATTGAACAAGAATAAATAAATTTTCAGATGGAATATGTTCATTTTTGAAATGGCTGAATACTTCCACCCATCTTTTATCAATTTCAACGTGTTTATTTTCCCATTGTATTAATTTTTCAGAATTTAAAAATACATTCAGTCTTGTAATTTCTTCAAAGAGACAATTGTCGTCTATTTTAATGTCCGGCATTTCTTTA